CAGAGCAGGCTTCAGAGGACAAAGCATTTATGGAGGAAGAGAAGGGGGAGCACAGAGAGAGAGAGAGACAAAGTGATCTCAGGTATCGGGGTAAAGAGCAAAAGGAGGGAAGACTCTAAATGCTGAGGTTGTACCAGGCATAAAGGGAGGAAAAAGAATAAGAACAAGTAACAGAACCAAAAATGAAAGAGAGAAGGGGGAGAAAATTTGCCACCCTTCTTTTGCTCCCCTGTCTTTCTCATCACCTCTTGATCCTCTGGCGCTTTGTCATAAGAGGAGAAGAGGCAGGAAGAAAGGTAGATAGAGGAGAAAAAAAAAGAGAGGGGAGAAAAAAAGACAGAAGGAAACAGGTTTGGAGGAGAGCAGCAGGTTGGGAGTGGAAGGCTTTGTGGTAACTGTAGTGCTTTCAACGTGGGCAGATGCAAAGTGAAGGGGAGAGGGAGGAAAAGAATGTGGGTGCAAGGGGGCAGGCAGAGGCTAGATCACTGAAGGCTGGCACAGGAGATTAGGACAGTGCCGTGGTGAAGTGGCAGAAGGATAGCATGAGGAGAACGCTAAAAGGTCTTAGAGGTAGGAAGGTGAGACGCGGAACTGATACCTGCAGCCCATCAAACAAACATTTGCCTACTGATTTGGGGGAGAAGGAGTAGGGCTGAGGGAGTGCAGTTCAGAAAGAAAGAGCAGGAATAACCAAGAAAAACAGCTGAGACTGAACACCTCCTGGATGATGCCAGAAGGGAGAACATAAGTAGCAATGACTTGCTCTGAGAGTAATAGATGAACACTTTTTAGTGAAGGATAGCTCTGACAACACAATTAATAGATTCTGAATTTTTGCCTCTGCCTTTGTGACTATTTCACCCAACTACCTGTGTGAAAAATCTCTTGCTGATTTCCACTTTGAGCCCAGTGCTTGCCGAGATGGAGCACTTCTCTCTGAGGGTTGTCCCAGAGATGGCCTCTGCCTCCCTGCATAAGGCCTTCAATGCCTTGAATGGTTAAAAATCCTACTTTATTTCTACTGTCAGCTGGCATTATGCTTGACAGGGGATGGCAGCTTAGCTTGAAAGACCTAGAAGGTGACAGTTTCCAACTGCCATGAATCAAAGCAGAGCGTTTTAAGGTAAAATGTCAGTGTTCACAAGCAGCTGAGTTGTCCATGCAGTGCAGGCATGGAAGAAGCACTAGTCCCAACAACCTCTGCAAGCTAAACTATTCCTTCATCACTTGGGCCCTGCAATGCAACTTCGCATCTCAGCCTTTACAGCTTGTCATTCATTTGCCTGCTCAATTAAAGTGTTTCCCACTCTCAAAAATCTTCCTTCTGTCTGCTTTACCAAGTTCCCTCTTTACCTTAGCTTAGCTAAAGCACAAGCTATCCAAGGCTGACTGCAGAACTGTCAGTGAAATGGTGGGATTTGACTGGTACTTTCACTATCCCATTACAGTTTCCATCCTCTGGCATCATTTTTATTAGCAGTAGGTGTCCCATGCACAGGGAAGTGTTGTGTGTGAATACCCAGAGAGTAGTGAGCTGTAGCTGAGTTGGTTGCTTCCTTAGCATCTGTCTGCTTGCAAAAGCAGCAAGTAGCAGCATAGACATAACATGCAAAGCTGCTGGGATCCCAGCCATCACCACAGCTATTAGCACAGCTATAACAAGCAAGTGTACAGGTAGCCCTGAGCAAGAAAACAGTGAGAAACAGCTCATCCCCCCACAGTGCTGCTAGACCAGCAATGGAATGGGGAGCAGGTGCCCCTGGATGCAAACCACTCGCCTAGTCATAGTTAGCAAAGAGTCGACAGGGCTGGGAAGTGAACTGCCACACTGGTTTCAGTGGCTTTTCAGCAGGTGGTCAGGCACGAGTGGCTCGGCACAGAAAAGGTGTTTGTCACAGCCCCACTGCAGATGAGCCCATTGCATTGTCAAAGCCTGCAAAAAATTAGGATACGGGTCTCCAACAGCAAAGTGCTTGGCTCTAGAGGGAAAAATCTGTCATTCAAACCTGGGCCTTACTCCAAAAATCAGGATCTGTCATTAGGATTGCCAGTAGCACCAGGGCATGTCCATTCAGTAAGAGTTACAGCGTGCACAGGCAATCATCCTGATGGGTTCTGATTTTTTTTTCGCAGTCAATACCATGCAAATTTTACAATGTCAAGCTCCAGTGGTAAAGTGCATCTGTGTGCTAGAAACACTTCTAGTGGTCAGATTTTGTGCATCCCCGCAAGCTGCTTGTCCTTTTTTTCCTGAGCCACCTCAGCTGAAGAAAGAAGGCCAGAGATTTTGCTCTGAGTCAGTATGTTCTTGGGAGAGTAAAAGCACATGGGGAGGGACTAAATCAGCCTCTTCTTCCACATGTGGAGAGCAAAGGAAGAGTGAAAGCCTGTCAGTATATGCTTGCTGTTCGAGCCTGGCGTGTTGACACCTTCCATGGCCAGTTCATCTTAGATTCAATTAGGTACCTTCCCTAGCAGCAATGATTCACAAACTTTTTGCACTGCTTCCAGCTGGCTTTCTTGTCGCTGAGGCAGTAGCTCAGCTGGCCTCTCTGGGCTCTCCATCTGGATGCCTCACCAGCCGCCTGTCGTGGCCCAGTTTGAGCTCTGCCTTCCTCTTCAGCCTTCCCCGAGGGCAGCACTCACCCCAGCAGGGTCCTGCCAGCAGGGCAGGTGTGGCACCGTCATCTGGCCGTCTGCCCACCGAGTGACTGGCATTGTCCCCTCGCTCAGCCTGCATCCCCCAACCCTTCCCCCTCGCAATAAAGCAGTGCTTTGCCTGAAGTGTGGCAGTAAGGATCACCTTACCAGCTCTCCATTGCTCCGGGGGGGTGGGGGGAAACGCACGCTTTACCCTCACCTCTGAAGACTTTTCAGTTTGACCCAGATACGTGTTTGCAAGCACATTAGCTGCTCACACACAATTCCCTGGCCTGTCAGTGTTTTGGAAGAACAAAGTTTGGAAATGTCAAAACATTTTAATTTGGGGTCAGTTTGTCTTCAAATTGCATCTATGTTACCGTATGTCACCTTTCTACAAGCACTGGACTTTAACAGGGGTGCGTATGCCATGACTACAGCCAGCCACAGGCATCCCGCGATGCCGCATGGCTGCGCAGTTCTGTTAGCCACAGTGCACCGTGGGCAGCATAAATTCAAGGAGGAAGTATGAGGTACACTGGATAAGGTGAGGGAACTGCGAGGTTATGGACCTGGACTGTTAACATTATTACAACAAACATTACAACTTGGGAAAACCAGACACAAAGCAAAACGGTTTTTGTGTTTTTTACATTTTCCCTTGGAAAATATTGGCAAAATGGAAGTTTACAAGAATAATCATTATGCTGAAACCCACATTTTCATCTTAAAATAAATTGTAAGGATAATTTATATCTAACTTCAGCTTGGAGATGCCTCATAACCATGCCTTGCTATCTCTACTTCACTTACAACCTTGTTTAGTTTGCTGCTGCTTTTGAGAGTGCAAGGTGACTCCCAGCCTTCCAAACACGCTTGTGGTTTGATTCTTCTGTTTTCTCATCTCTCTGCTCAACGCTCCCTGACTCCGGTGAGCTCTGGAGTAGGGCTTCTGTTAGTAACCCTCCAAGACTGTCTTTTCATCCCTTAAAACTTGCCATGGGCAACTTTGTCCAGGTATCTTCTCTGCGCAGGCAGCTCGTTCTGAAGTCTCTTTCTTCCAGAAAGACCTCTTCCATTCTACCCATATTTTAACAACTTGTGTAGAAGATGAAGCGCTTTCTTATCCTGAACGGCAGCATTGCCTCTGCGTTCTGCAGTATGGAGGACATCATTTTTCTCTTTATGGCTTTTCTCTTCTCTACACACTTACACAACAATGTCACTGCCTGGAAATCAGCAGCATTTCTGTTTTGATCAAATCATTCATCCAGTCACTCAGACCTGTTCATGCTGGATTGAGCACACATAAAGGAGATTCATGTCCGAGCTGTTTTCTGGGAGGCTAGGCAGCACCAAGTAATCTGTGGTGCCTTCCACCCCTCTGCAGTTAAACAGGACCCTCAGTCAGACCCTTTGCCTACAGATTCTTTTCAGGTATTCCTGTTGCAAGGACTTGCTTACTGAATGCTTGAGGAGTGAACTTGCGTTGGTCTCTACGAGATCAGAATCTCCATTTTTTAGTGTCTGTGATTGTGAGTAACACTTCTGTAACAGTGCCTGATGTTTTTCATTTATTCTAGTGCTCTGTTTCCACACTAGCAGAATCCTGGCACAGGAATCACAGCACACACACAAAAAAAAAAGAGAGAGAAAAATTGTCGTGAGCTGACTCGTCTGTCAGGAAGGAACTTAGCATGCTTAGTTGTTCCTGTCAGATGGCAATAATACATCTACTTGCTTTAGATTTATTCGTTAAACATACCAGCAAGTAATTCTATCACACGATGCTGTGCTTATTTCAAGGTTCGGATGGTTTCTGGTGGATGTGTTAAAAGCATACAGCATCCTTTTCTTCTGCTGCAGAATTAGCCCTCAGCCAAGAAACTGAAGTTGTTTCATCTCTGCATATTCTGATGGACTCACTCAGGTGAGCTCCAGGCAATAGCTAAAGCAGCTGCTTTTGGATGAGTGTTCTTTAACCAGTGGGTGGAGGGCTGAGTGAATTCCTCCCCCCGACTCCATGCTGGCCGCCCTGTGTCTTGCCTTCCCTCTCTCTCTTGCACTTTTCTACATTCTGCCAGAGGCAAGGGTGCGGGTGACTGGAAATGTGGAAAGTCACCTGATAGTATGCTGCCCGACTCCCTTCTCTCTGCACAGCATAAGCTCTCTTCGGCTGGTGATAGTGGAAGCAACTCTGCCAGGCTTTGCTCTGCTCAGCAGACTGCAGAGTTTGCTGCAAATGCAAAACTGAAATCCATCTTTGTACCACTTACTTACCTTCCAGACAGCTTGTATGT